CCTGCCAGCTGATAGAATTGATTCACACGCTTCCTACAACTCAGTGGGCCTGAACATATTGAGTTCTTGTCCTTGAGAATGAAGAGTGCTCTAGCCTACAGTGATACCGTTAATGTAAATTTGGTTTCAGGGGAAATTCCCCATCTCACTTTCCCCCACCTTTATACTACATAATATAATTACCTCAGTCCTAGCTTCGTAAGCTGTATTGTAATGTGTTTTACTAAGGGCTGCCGTTGATGATTGTCTGGAAGCTGCAGCTGATGCAGACTTAGTAATGCATCCCTTATCACTGATGTAGATAACGTAATGCTAGACTATATCTTTAAAAGTCCAGTCAATAAGACTAATGGTGAAAGATGCTAGGAATTATAATTCAATTATAATTCACCCCTGATAAAATTATTTAGGTGCCTGTAGTAATTCATTGTTGGTATCCTTGATACTTTGGAATAGGGCAAAGTATATATGATTACTGACCAAAACCACTCACTCAGGAGCCTGAGTGGCGTAGGAGGCTAATGCCTCGTAAGGCAGCATTTAACATCCAGCTGCCTGCAATTACTGCAAGTTCAATTCTCACCAGGCTGAAGGTCGACTCAGCCTTCCATCCTTTCTAAGGTGGGTAAATTGAGGACCCAGTTTGTGGGGGCAATAAGCTGACTTTGTATAAATATACAAAACTATGAAGGCTATTGCTTAATGCATTGTAAGCCGCCTTGAGTCTCCGGAGAAGAGCGGCATATAAATCAAATTTAAAAAAAAAAAAATCTTATCATGGAGTCTTGCTTATTGGAGAGTGAACCCAGATTTCTCATGTCCTGGAAAAAACCTACTGTTTCAGCTACTTCAGCTGGAACATGCAGATGTTCCAGCTTACAACCACAACTGAGCCCAAAATTTCTGTTGCTAAGCAAGGCAGTTGTTAAGTGAATTTTGCCCCCATTTTATGAACTTTCTTTCCACAGTTATTAAGTGAATCACTGAAGTTGTTAAGTTAGTAATATGGTTGTTAAGTGAATCTTGCTTTCCCTTTGACTATGCTTGTCAGAAGGTCACAAAAGGTGATCACATGACTCTGGAACATTTCATCCATCATAAATATATGCCAGTTGCCAAGTGTATGAATTTTGATCACCTGACCATGGGGATGCTGCATGGTTGTAAGGTGTGGAAAATGGTCATAAGCCAACTTTGAACAGTCACTAAATGAATGGTTGTAAGTCAAGACTACCTGTAATTCAAATTTGCAAACAGTTCATGTGGTACAGAATAGTTGTAACTTACGATTGTAAGACCCTTTTTTGTGTTAAATGAAAGAGAAACAAGTAGGACTGCTTTGCTGTGGTTAGACAAGTCATTTTTTTTCTCCTGGAATTTTACAATAGTGAGTTTATCAAGGGGAATCTTATTCTTGGTTTGGGAGCGCACTGTATGCTAAATTTGTGAAACTGGTTTTGCAGTTGAAATGACCACTTCCTTGGTATTAAGGAAGTGTTTTCCCAGGGCAGAATTTCATCCACCAAAAGGTTGAGCAAAGGAATGGAAAACAGGAACCAGAAACTGTGTTCTGGAAATAACCAAATCTCAAACAAGAAGCACGGGCATTGATGAAATCAGTCATGATTTAAAGTCATGGCAATCAAAAAATTCCTGAACTAGCTGAAATAGAGACATACAATGCTGACGAAGTTCAACTCTTTGTCTGGCCTATTTTGGATCTGGAGCATTAGTGTATTCTGGGATTTACTCCTGCATCTGGAATGACTAGAAATACTCACTTGTCTTATTTGCGCAGGTTGCTGTTGTTTCCAATTTGTTGAACCTCACAGTCATCATAAACGCAAGCTGTTGTTGCACCTTGCAGAAAGGGTGACCCAGTAAGTTCTTAGCTCAGGTGAGAGCAAATCAAGGGTTGCATACTGTCTTGGAGCACTCCAGAGTTTGCATTCTTCACATCCTTGAGTCAGTAGAAAAATATGTTGACCTAAAATGGTGTTATCCCCATAGGAGTTATGGATTTAATACAGGGAAGTTTCAAGCAGTGATTTCTTTTTGTCCTTTATTCAACATCACTTGCTAAGCAGGAATCCTCCTTCACATCCAGTGCACCATACAGTAAAGTGGGGTGGAATTGGCAGGATTTTGTCTTAGTTCAAATTTCACCTGAGTTATAGTAAATAGTATAAGCAAACTATCTTCATATAGTGGAGTCTGAGTGGCGCAGCAGACTAATGCTACTGTTAAAGGTAGTATTTAGCTTCCAGCTGCCTGCAATTACTGCAAGTTCAACTCTCACCAGGCTCAAGGTTGACTCAGCCTTCCATCCTTTCTAAGGTAGGTAAAATGAGGACCCGGTTTGTGGGGGCAATAAGCTGACTTTGTATAAAATATACAAAAGTATGAAGGCTATTGCTTAACGCATTGTAAGCCGCCCTGAGTCTCCGGAGAAGGGCAACATATAAATCAAATAAAAAATAAAGTAAAAATAAAAAAAATATAGTTGTAGTCTTAGCAGCTCTGTTGCCTATAATATGGAATTAATAATATTGGCTAACTTTGCAGGATTGAATTCATCAGGTAAGTTTAATAAGATGTGTTTTGAATTTATAAACTCCCACATGCTGCCTCAACTGGGAGGCAAGGAGGGGGAAATGATGAAACATGCATTGTGATATCGCGGTATAAACTCTTCTCCTAAAGAATATGGAAAAACAGAGTTGGAAGGGACGTTGGAGGTCTTGTAGTTCAACCCCCTGCTCAGGCAGGAAAAACTATACAATTTCAGACAGATCGTTGTCCAATTTCTTCTTAAAAACTTCCAGTGTTGGAGCATTCACAACTTCCAGAGGCAAGTTGTTCTACTGATTAATTGTTCTGTCAGGAAATTTCTCTTTAGTTCTAGGTTGCTTCTTGATTTGGACACTTCTTGATTTGCATCCATTACTTCTTGTCCCGCCTTCAGGTGCTTTGGAGAATAGTTTGACTCCCTCTTCTTTGTGTCAGCCCCTGAGATGTTGGAACACTGCCATCATATCATCCCTAGTCCTTCTTTTCATTAAACTAGACATACCCAATTCCAGAAACCGCTCTTTATGTGTTTTAGTCTCCAGTCCCCTAATCATCTTTGTTGCTCTTCTCTGTACTCTTTCCAGAGTCTCAACATCTTTTTTATAATATGGTGACCAAAACTGGATGTGGGGTCTACGACAATTCATCACAGCCAACTCACTACAGCCAACTTGTCAAGGCCATCTTGCTACGGCCAACTGGCCATGGGACAATTTACCGCGGCCAGCTCTCTGTGGGACAACTCACTGTGGGACAAGAGTTATACGAAAATCAAAGCAATCGTAGAATAGAATCATTAAAGAAGGGATGCAAAAGGAGGGACAAAATGAAATGTGAATGACAAAAATTAAAATATTTTTTATTTATTTTAAATAATTAAATGGAATTCTTAAATTGTCCTGTGACTTGTCCTACGGCGAGTTGGCCATGGTGAATTGTCCTGAGGTGACTTGGCTACAGCGAGTTGGCTGCAGCGAATTGTCCATTCCATTCCAAGGGTCATCTTACCAAGACATTATAGAATGGTATTAACTCCTTCTATACTTGTAATGTTGCACACAAGTAAGGGGCAGATCATGCATTGTGACTGCACTTTTTTTCTGATGAAATATTAGCTTGCTGTAGGTTTCCTGGTACATATGCTGGTATAGTGGTTAAGGTGCTGGCCTAGAAACCAAAAGACGGTAAGTTCTAGTCCCACCTTGTGCATAAAAGCTGGTCAGTCATTCTGTTCTCTCAGCCCAACCCTCCTCACAGGGTTTTGTTGTTGGGAAAATAGGAGAAGAGAGCATTAGAAATGTGTGCTGCCTTGAATTCTTTGTCAAAAATTATAAAGGCAGGATAAAAATCAATCAATCAAACAAACAAATAAATAAAAAGCTGATAATCAGCTGATGATGCTCTTAGTAATTTAGAAATTATTTCACAACTGTTTGCTGCTTTTCCTAACAGTAAAATTTGCCAAGGAAAAGAGAAATACGGGCTTTGGGGCATACACTGAAGTTTGAATAAACTTGTGTATAAAACTTGGGCCTAAATGTATTTAATTAAGAAGTATGTTTTTATTTAAGGTGGAAGTGTTTTCTGTAACAAAATTAAGACAGGGGCCTGAAAAACACTTCTAGAAGGATCATGTGGAGTACAACAATGCAGGAACAATATTTTACCCTTTTCTCTAGTCTGTTTCTTTTCGCAAAGTCCCAATGATTTTTTTTTCTTTCTGGTTCCTCATCTGGGGCAATCTTCTAAATTTTGCTTACATTATAAGCATTCACATAGTATGCACAGTTGGCAGCTTTTGCACCCATAATATACCTATCTTGAGAAGACAGACAGACAATGATGATAGATGGATGGCTAGATAGATAGATAGATAGATAGATAGATAGATAGATAGATAGATAGACAGATGATAGAGATAATGTTATTTATAAATATGCATTTGTCTTTTCTTTGATCCTAAACTGGAGTACATTTTAATGAAAATTTGAGTTCAGTTTAATGAACAGAAAAAAATGGACAGGCATAGCTTCTTTGGTGCGGGAAACAGAACACATGCTATGCCTGCATAAAATCAGGCAATTGAATTTTGTGTTTCTAATTATGAGATTTCTGCTGGCAAGCCAAGCACAGGTGTCTGGCTGAAACATCTGAGAGGCAACAACAGTCAGAGTAGATTATTTGGATCTGGTGTCAGCAACAGGAACATCTTTCATTTATTTATAACCTGGACTGAGGCTTAAGGAACACAAGAACAGCCTTGCTAATAATCATCTAAAGAAAAGGCAACTCAGAATGCATGTACATGTGTGACAGTGGGAAGGGACAACTTTAATTGAATCCTTTTCTTTGATTCTACTTGAATGGAGTTGTTGTTTTTTTGCTGGATTTTCCATTTCAGGAGCATATAAACGGAACCAGGCACAACATACCAGTGAAAGGTTTATTGGTGCAGCCATATCCTTCCTATTACATTCAGAAGAGTTGTATTGGGGTTTCTGCCCCGACAGTTCAGATTTGCTACACAGGGCACAATGGAGGTCACTGTCTGTGGGTGGGGTAGGCTGGCAACCAGCTGGGAATGAATAGAGGAATATATATATGGCCTCATGACAATCCAGCCCTCAACAGGTAACCCCTGAGGTAGGTGGGTAGGGACGGCCTCCATTTTACTAACAGAGAGAGGCAGTGGAGCAGACGGTGCCATGAACCAAATACTTATGCCATATGGTTTGCTGCCTCACTAGAGGCAAGAGTCAGGGTTGGCCTTTTGTGTATATCTTTTATTCCACTTACATAGAACAGATTTGGAACAGGACTTCACAGTTCACTAGAGTCCCTGCATAATGACCCAGTAGGATAGCACTTCTGGAATCTTGCACTGAACTTGTGCTGCATGGTGTTTGTGCATATGTTTGGCCTATGAATCAAGCACAAATACAATGTACAGGACTGAATGAATGCAACTGAAAAGGGAGCAGGCTTTTCAGATTCTAAAAGTTCAAATTTAGTGAACAAAGCCAATGCATTTTTCATGCAATTTAGCTTTGTCACAAAATCTGATCTTTATATGGCAACTGTTAGTGGGAGATACAAGGATGATATGGGCCTGAGAAAAAGGAAGAAGATTTTAGGGTCAGGTAAAATTCAGGAGCTAGAAACTATTGCTTTGACATATCAAAAGGCAAATAAAGACAATCCTTTATCCCTATAGAAAGCTTGTACAATACAGTGCTTCAAAACTACAAATGCAGAATATTTTAGCTCTCTCTCAGAGACATCTTATTCATTAATTGTCAGGGCCAAACCATCAGTAGCTTTTCTGGAGAAGTGACTCTGTTGGCCCAGCTAGGGCTGCTTAAAGAAATACTAAAATGAACAATGCAATGACCATGGAGAGACTAAAGAACAAAGCAAGAGGAGCAATGAAGGTAAAGCATGGAAGAATACTAAGTGGAAAGGAGGTGACTGAGTACAACAAGCAAGCTTGGTGGATCAGATAATTAGCCAGATTAGGTTTCAGCCTTAGTTTCTGAGATTCCTAGTTGTCTGGTTGCATGTTTGACTTTCTTTACAAGAGGGGAGAAAAACAGCATGAGAATACTGTAAAATCTTTTTGGATGATCTCACTTAGAACCATATCCATCATTCAATTTTCACTCCATCATTAGTCAGTTTGTTCCTGATATTCAGCCTGTACCATCAAATTTTACCTGCACTTCTTCCTTCCCTGTGTGAATGGATTTGCTTCCTAGATCACCCCAACACTTTGGACAACCAAGGAAACAGCAAAAATAGGCACAGTACTTGCCACACTGATGCATGTGCCCACGAATATTGCACAAATACCACATTCCACTTGCTGAACACATCATGGTACTGAAAACCTTGCTGGCACACATTGCAATTTGTGGTCTCCAACAGTCCTTATTGCCATTCCTCAAAAGGAAAGGATCAAAAGTTCCCATAAACATGAAATCCCAGGCAAGGATATCATGCAGAAGAGCAGATGAAGCACACTCTCTTAAACAGTCATGAGACTAAGTGGCTAAAGTTCAATAAGGAAACACCAGCTATTCTTCCACTTCCTGCTATCACCCCAGAAAACTGTTAATTCTGAAAGAAAAGCATCGCCCTTAACATTCCAGAAGGTTTACTTGCCTCTTCCTTTGTTAACCTGCTGCTATTTTCCCCACTGCAAAACAGTTTAATCTGTTTGACTTCTCTAGACAGGAGACTAATAACAACTGGCTAAGGTGTCTACATATTCAGGTCAATATATGGCACAGCACTACAACAAGGTCTGTTCAGAAGGAGCATGGGTGATAGTGGCTGGAATTATATTCTGTCTGTCCATAAGAAGGCAGCAACTCCTCTTGCTCTGCCTTGCCCAAGTTCTCTTCTGGTCTGGAGCTTCTGGGAGGGTTGTGTCTCAGCTGCCAATTGGACTAGACCTATGATCAGTTCCAAAGCCACTGCAGGAACAGCATGAGGAGAACAGCTTATCCCACAATGCTAGGAAAGAACCAGTAGACATATAGCAGCCTGCTCATACTGGCATGTGAAGTTCATTGTATTCATCTCGCCCATCTTCATCAAAGTTTGGCTCTGCATCTTCCGAGTCTAGCTGCAAGTGAGAGGGAAGAGAGGAATGAGTATCCATTCAATCACAGTGGGTATCTCTGTTACAAGTCAAAAGCCACAGGGTGTTGGGGAAGTTGGAGGATGGTCAAGAGATATCTGGGAAAATGCATATCTGCTACTCTAATGCAGTAAGGTAGACAAACATTAAATTGCTTGTTCTTCCTCTTCAAGTGGTACCTGTGCGGCATACTTTATAAAGCATACTATCCATTTGACAAACGTAAATGTGCACAATGATCATATAAAGATTAGTTCTCTTAGCATCTTACCGCTTTCAGTTCTCTTTCATGGAAGAAACGTGGCAACAGGTATCGCCGTAGAGGAACTGTCATGATCAGGACAAATGGGAAAGCCAATGATGCCACTGTGGATTTTACCACCCATAGCAATACAATGCAAGCTAGTTGGATGCATGTGAAAAGATTCATTCGCCAAGTCCTCACCTGAAGGAGAAAAAAAGGTGTCACAGAAATCTTGTGCACAGAAGCAACAACCTGCTTACAAGACAAAGATTGATAACAATAAAACGGATCTTGGAAATAATATTAAACATCATGAAACATCAACATCTGCTTAGCCCATCACCTTGGGAAGGACTCAGTAGGATAAAAAATGCCAAATTCAGTCTGAAATCTGGTTGACTGTGCGATGAACAACAACAACAACAACAACAACAACAATAAACATCATATATTTTAAGAAGGTTCTTGGTTGATACCTAGGACGCTGGCAACAACCCATATCAACCATTAGCACCAATCAATGGTATTTGTGACACATTTGTAAATGTCCAGTTGACTAAGTTTCATTTTTAATGAATAAAAGAGAATAATAATAATTATTATTATTTTATGTGGTGTCTGAGCCCCAGTGACTCTCAGTGAAGAAAACTATAGGAAAAAGATAACAGGAATAGAAACATTAGACAATAACTATTATTAAAACACACAGTCTCTATATTCTTAAATAAAACACCATTGTTTTGGTAATGCCATCCCAATCTCCATTCACTACTTCCACTTGCAGACATTCTTCCTCTTGCCATCCAATGGATTCATTGTTTACCTTCTCAATTCCCCTGAAGATATACTACATTACCTTGATAACATAAACGTGATCAGGGTGATGCTTGGATGGCATGAAGATAAGGAGGAGCCTTTCATATAACTGAATGCCAGTCAAAGATGTCACGCCCATATACAGAAAAACCCCGAACAGCACAGCCAATGGAATCTGACGTAGTATATTTCCCATGGCAATGGAGAGACCTGCAAATAGCACAGAATGTTTCATTTTCTTTCAAAAATACCAATGTAACTATAGTGAGAATATAAGACAAAGCCTAAAATGGCACATGTAACTTTCCAAGGAATTCAGAAGAATGGAGCTGGCAGAGATATACAGATATAGTGGTACCTCAGTACTTACTACTTCAAAACGTATCGAATTTGGTATTTAACACATTTTGATGTGAAAATGTTGTCCTGGTACTCAGCGTTTGTTTGGTATTCGAAACATTGCAAAAGGAAGTAGTGGACAGCTGCAAAGGACAGACTGAAAGTCGGCTATGCCGGGAAGGTTGCTGACACAGGAAAAAGGAGAGATGGGAAATCCTTCCCGACTGAAACAAAGTATCATGTCACATGGTTAGCTTGGTACTCATCCTTTTTAGTACTTGTCATGCCTCCTGGAACCAATTAAGAGTGAGTACAGATATTCCTCAAGTTATGACAATTGAGCCCAAAATTTCTGTTGCTAAGTGAGACATTTGATAAATGATTTTTGTCCCATTTTATGACATTTGTTGCCATAGTTGTTAAGTGAATCATTGCAGTTGTTAAGTTAGTAACATGGTTGTTAAGTGAATGGCTTCCCCATTGATTTTGCCTGTCAGAAGGTGACAAAAGGTGATCACATGATCCTGGGAACACTGCAGCCATCATAAAGATGAGTCAGCTGCCAAGCATCTGAATCGCATGACCAGTGGGTTGCTGCAATGGTCACAAGTGTGAGAAATGGTCATAAGTCACTTTTTTCAGTGCTGTTGTAACTTCAAACAGTCACTAAATGAACTGTTGTAAGTCAAGGACTACCTGTACCGAGATACCACTGTATACAGATTCATAGTTTGGAAGACAGAAGAAGATCTGCTGATTTTATTATTTCTATGATTCTGACAAAATCATCTGCTCCAACTTCTTACCCAACTAAAGTATATATTAGAGTCATTAAACAGAAGATGATGGCTCAGCAGATTAATCTAACTTCATCAAGTGAACATAATCACAGAGAACATATTCCTCTGAGAGGACCTCACCAACAAGGCCAGCGATGAGCACTCCTGTCACACGTTGTTCTTTCACTTCCTTGATCTTTGGCTTCTCACCAGGTGCTATGGCCTTGCTCATTACAGTAAGGGCATTGACATGAGTAATGGAACGGACAGTGGCAGCTGTGAGCCAAGGCAATCCCAAAAGGGCACAAAGTCCTCCCATCGTCCCAATAAGCAGCAAATCAAGATGGAAGCCTGACCCCTTCAACAGCTTCCGTTCCTTCTTGCTGACAATCAGACTACAAAAAAAAAAAAAAAAAAAAAATGGCAACAGAACATGCGTGAGTTTCAAGAACACCCTAACACTGCTTTGCTTTACTAAGGGAAATATAAAGAAGTCATGCTCTTAAATGTTTTGCAACAGTTTTTTTTTTCCAGTTAGTTAGGAAAGAGATGGGGCACATTGGTAATAAATGAAAAAGCAGAGCCAGCAATTAAGTTCTATACTGCAGATAAAGCTTCCTGTGTAACATGCACATAGTAGTTACTGGAAGCAATGGGAACATTCTTGTGCAATGTGGACATTAAGAATTTTTAAAACCCTCATTGCCTTGCTTATGACTTCCTTACCATTTCCAGTGGTAGAAAATGTTTTTTTTTTTTTTTTTTTTTTTAGTATTACCTTAGGACTCATAGGATGATAAATGAGTAACCCAATCTATAACATAAAGGTCTGGCACTTACGTGGTGATCTGGGTTTCCATAAAGATAAGGATGAAGACTAGTAGTGCAGGAATGGCAGAAGCAAACATCATCCAGAGGGGAAAGGGCTGCTGGCTTCCTAAGGGATGGATGAACCAGCCCCGTTTATCTGGGGCTGTAACTGACAGCACTGAGGGCACATTCAACTTCTGTAAGGAGAATATAACATATCAACACACCAAATGTAAAAATCGGCATGAGATAATAGCACATATCTCACACAGATTTTTAGTTCTTAATAAACCCTAGCCCTATCTGTGTTACTATGCATGTACATCATTTAATCCAGGGATTAACTGTTTATCTTCATAACAGAAGTCAACTGGGAAGAAAAGCAATCTTGCATGGCTTAATTCCAAAGTTTTCCTAAGTAATCTCAATAGATAATATTTCTGCATGTATAGTTTTTAGCCTTAAATTGGTTCTGTATGTTTAATCCCAACCAGATACATTTTGCTATAACTATGAAATCTAGATGGGAATTTTAGCTTTTAACTGCACTAAAGACATGCCTGCTTCTAATCATCAAAAATATCCTAACTTTCCAGATTCACACCACAACATAGCATTCGGTGCTATTTGGAAGTCCAGACAAACAAATAATTGTCCTTAGATGACTCCACATTTAACAAAACCTCCCACTGAAGCAGAAGCCAGCTGATCAATACATCATACAACATGACTGGGACACCCTTATTTTCTGCATGGCAGCCTTCTGAACTGAATGTTGATTAAAAGGCATAAATTCAGAGTTCTGCACCCACAAGATTAACTCCAAGTTGATGGAGTTAGCAGTGATGGCCAAATTGACTGCTTTGATTAAAGAAAAAAATACAATTACTTTTGTTTCTCGGAAACTTGGAAATTACTTGGAAACCACTTCTGGACTTTGTGTTTGAGGTGGGGGAAAAAAATGAAACTTTGATTTTGAGTTTTATTGATTAATGGGTTTGTTGTTATAGAAGTGACTAATATTATTATGTAAAAGTAAAAAGTTGAGGTTTGATGTTACTATCTTATTATTCTACTGCATCAAAGGGAGTTGGAAGTCAACACCTTTTCTTTCTTTTTTCCCCTTGACCTACACTTTTTCCTTCCCCTTTTTCTGCTCTATTTTCCAACTTTTTTCTTTTGTACTTTTTATTGTATATTATAAACTAATAAAAAATTAAAAAGCAAAAAGATTAACTCCAAATGCCTAGAAAAATCAATGTATTTTAGTTCCCATGAGATGGTGACTACTTCGGACAAGCAACACCAACCTGTGTATACGTATCGGTAATAGTATAGTCTACCAGAACCATGACAAGTATGGAAATAGGGATTCCAAAATCTCCAATGATTCTCCGGGCCTATAGAACAAATATGGGAGATAACAATGAACATAAGACAAGTTAGAGATATTGCTGGGGGATCAAATCTACCTTCTGAACCCAATTTTTCCCACTTCTGAAGAAATGCCCTTTATGACATAGAAGGGTGATTCTAAGTAAAAATACATTGATAGGGCAATAATACACCTTCTGAAGGACAATGACTACATGTTTAATACTCTGTGTCTCATTATATCTACATTGTCAGTTCCACAGAACCTACCAGGCCAGATTCAAGATGATTTATTTTGAATACTCTCCAGGTTTAAAACAACTCAGGAGCATTTTCACTTTTATATATAATGGAAGTTGAATACCCAAATTTCAGTTTGGGTATTCAAATGTTCAGAGACAGTTTACAACTGAGCATTGCAGGGAGAAGAGGGAGTACCTTTTGCTTCCATAGCTATGATTTTGGCCAAGCTATCTATTAAGAAATTACACAAAGAAAGACTATTTCATTTATTACTTTTGGGAATCCTAATTTCATTGGGAATTAGAATGAAAAAGACAGATAAATCAGCTGAAAGAGTTGCAAGGGAGAAAAGCCACAATACATTTTTACTCAGAACCAGATCTTAGATTTACCTTTCCTCCCAAAAAACGGCTGTTCTTAAACTTGCGCATAAAAAAGGCAATGAAAAATGTCCCCAACATGAGGATGAGGGATAGAAGGGCTGTGTTGGGTTGCATTCGGATATCAAGAGCTGTAGAATCGGCAGGTAATATGCTAGAATTCAAATTTCTTTGAAGATTTGGTGGATAGAATCGCAGCAAAGGATGTTCTGCAAATATCTGGGAACACAGTATAAGGAAGAAAGGCATTTACTACTGTATCACTCCTTTCAGCCACAGAAATTGTAGCTGTTAAAACCTTTTATTTAGAGCCAGGATGACAGAGGGTAGTAAAAAAAAAAATCAAAATTGGTAAAGAGCCACATGCCTATCGGTTATTTTAAACTGAATCCGACAGCTAATATAAGCAGCTAGTCCCAAACTCTTTGGAGATAAGCTTACCTTGTACAGCTTGTAGAATGTTTCATAAATGAAGATGAGGGAGATGAGGAAGGCAAAAATCTCCTGGGTGAAGGGTGTAATGTAGCGCACTAAGAAGCTGCCTTCAGCAGCTACAATAATGACAATGAAGACAATGAGCCAGAAGCCAATCCACACTCGACCTGTCAAATACTCGATGTTCTGACTCTGACAAAACTGGCAAAAAAAAAAAAAAAGAAGAAGAAGGGGGGGGAGCTTAGAGACATCACCTAAGTTTGCCTTCTCACCTTGCATAGTTTTTTTGCCTGTCCTCAAAAAAATCCCATAATATGATCTCCCAAGTATCTGTTGTTTCAAGAAGACAACACTAATTGAAGTTTATCAAAACACTGCATAAGATTGCAGTAGAGACAATATAAACTCTAATTTGTATATGGAGGAAGTTTCAAAGAACCCAGAGTGGGTTCCACATAGCCTACTTCCCAATATCCACTGTCTTGTTATATTAAGCCTTACTAGGCTGCTTTGAGATATAATTGCAGATTATTTACCCAACCTCACTCCCAGTTTAATACAGTATAGAATTCTATCCACATGATTGCCAAGCCTGCTGAAGTTACAGAGAGACCCTCTAGGTGCAAAATTCTTGCAGGCAAAGATAGAAAACACTCAAAGCAGCAGCAAAAACAGCCATGTTGGTCATTGATTAAGATGCTTGGCTATAAAATTGAAAAAATATAAAAATTGTTGCTGTGTACTGTTATAAAGCAACACACTACCATCTTAGCTAAGGCAATGCATTTATTTTATGTTATTAATTTGAGACCAGTGCTTTTATCCTAGGTACAATTTGCTAAAGTATGAATGTACAACAATTGACTATTGGATCTATTTGTGGAGATTAGAAAACTGTTCTTTTAAATAATATGAACGGTCACTAGTTTTAAACTGGCCAAATCTAGATGTTACTTGAGCAGCATAATGACTTCATAACAACATGGTACCGGAAAATATCAAGTCTAGTGTAGTATGATTGCTATATATTGTGAAGTAAAAACACCCACATTGGTAGCTAACTTTAATGAGATAGTAAAAATAGTTTCAGCATAGGTGAGGAACACTTCATACAAATCATTTCTCACGTCTTATTTGTTCAGTATTTTGACAAAAAGTGTAATACCCAAATATATATATATATATATATATATATATATATATGTATGTATGTATGTATGTATGTATGTATGTATGTATGTAATATATATGTATATATGTTTATATATATATGTGTGTATATATGTATATATATATGTGTATATATATATGTGTGGTATATATTATATATATATATATATATATATATATATATATATATGTAGGTCTTTGGTTATTCGGGTCTTCTCCCACGTAAAATTGGAAGTGTCTTGGCGACGTTTCGTGCTCCTGGAAGCACAAAGCCGAGAACACCAGCCTGAAGATGACGAATGAGACTTCATCGAAACGTCGCCAAGACACTTCCAATTTTACGTGGGAGAAGACCCGAATAACCAAAGACCTACATACAAACACCAGCGAAAACCTGAGAAAACATATATATATATGTATATATAATATATGTATATATTATATATATATATATACACACACACACACACACACACACATACATACTGTGTATATGTGTGTGTATGTATACACACACATACACATAGAAATGCTATAGAAACACATCAGAAGCAATATGTGATACCAGAGAGTGTTAAAGTAATAAGCAAAGAATTATTTTTAGATACCTTGTAAAAAGCTTCTTCAAAGACCAGCAGGGGCCCTGAGAAACCAATGATAAGAAGTGGCTGTGCACTAAGAAGTGAAAAGAGCATGCCCAATACTGATGTGGAGATAATCAATTCTGAAACACCCATGAGACCATCTGTCTTCTCACCTGTAAAGAGAAAGCAATGTCTTTAGGATATACTCCAATGTTGCAGTTATAAATATCAATGCAGTTTCTTTTCACATCTGGGGTTTAGAGAGAAAAAAAAAACTTTTTTTCTCACTTGCCCCTGCTAATGAGTCCTTCCGTACATATCTATTCTGTTATTACACCTGGATTCTGGAATAGATTAAATAAGGCCCACAATTGCATCTGAAAACAGACACACACAGAGAGACACCTCATCTCACCCCCCCAACCCCCCGGCTAAGTTCTTATATCACACTAAATCTGATTTAATCAACAACTTGTTGAATAATATATTATTGTCTGGGTCTATACAGGTGAGACTCGAAAAATTAGAATATCGTGCAAAAGTTCATTTATTTCAGTAATGCAACTTAAAAGGTGAAACTAATATATGAGATAGTCTCATTACATGCAAAGCGAGATAGTTCAAGCCTTGATTTGTCATAATTGTTGATGATTATGGCTTACAGCTCATGAAAACCCCAAATTCACAATCTCAGAAAATTAGAATATTACATGAAATCAATAAAACAAGGATTGTACATAGAACAATATCAGACCTCTGAAAAGTATAAGCATGCATATGTACTCAGTACTTGGTTTGGGCCCCTTTTGCATCAGTTACTGTCTCAATGCGGCGTGGCATGGATGCTATCAGCCTGTGGCACTGCTGAGGTGTTATGGAAGACCAGGATGCTTCAATAGCGGCCTTCAGCTCTTCTGCATTGTTCGGTCTCATGTCTCTCATCTTTCTCTTGGCAATGCCCCATAGATTCTCTATGGGGTTCAGTTCAGGCGAGTTTGCTGGCCAATCAAGCACAGTAATCCCATGGTCATTGAACCAGGTTTTGGTACTTTTGGCAGTGTGGGCAGGTGCCAAGTCCTGCTGGAAAATGAAGTCAGCATCCCCATAAAGCTCGTCTGCGGAAGGAAGCATGAAGTGCTCCAAAATCTCCTGGTAGACGGCTGCGTTGACCCTGGACTTAATGAAGCACAGTGGACCAACACCAGCAGATGACATGGCTCCCCAAATCAACACAGACTGTGGAAACTTCACACTGGACTTCAAGCATCTTGCAGTGTGTGCCTCTCCATTCTTCCTCCAGACTCTGGGTCCTTGGTTTCCAAATGAGATGCAAAAGTTGCTCTCATCAGAAAAGAGGACTTTGGACCACTGAGCAACAGACCAGTTCTTTTTTTCTTTAGCCCAGGTAAGACGCTTCTGATGTTGTTTGTTGTTCAGGAGCGGCTTGACAAGAGGAATACGACATTTGAAGCCGATGTCCAGGATCCGTCTCTGTGTGGTGGCTCTTGATGCACTGACTCCAGCCTCAGTCCACTCCTTGTGAAAGTCCCCAACACTTTTGAATGGCCTTTTCCTGACAATCCTCTCCAGGCTGCAGTCATCCCTGCTGCTTGTGCACCTTTTTCTTCCAGACTTTTCCCTTCCACATAACTTTCTATTAATGTGCTTTGATACAGCACTTTGGGAACATCCAACTTCTTTTGCAATTATCTTTTGAGGCTTTCCCTCCTTATGGAGGGTGTCAATGATGGTTTTCTGCACAACTGTCAGGTCAGCAGTCTTTCCCATGATTGTGATTCCTACTGAACCAGACTGAGAGACCATTTTAAAGGCTCAGGAATCCTTTGCAGGTGTTATGGCTTAATTAGCTGATTAGAGTGGGACACTTTGAGCCTAGAATATTGAACCTTTTCACAATATTCTAATTTTCTGAGATTGTGAATTTGGGGTTTTCATGAGCTGTAAGCCATAATCATCAAAAGTATGACAAATCAAGGCTTAAACTATCTCGCTTTGCATATAATGAGTCTATCTCATATATTAGTTTCACCTTTTAAGTTGCATTACTGAAATAAATGAACTTTTGCACGATATTCTAATTTTTCGAGTTTCACCTTTATACTGTGTTATGATTCATGGCTAACAAACCACAATGGCTAGACTCATATAAAAGTCAAACCAAATAAACAGTATTATGGCTTAATGCAATGTATGAAGCTATTCTCTGCACATAATTCTTAGGGCCAAACAACTGATGTTCAATCTGTTCCACAAAGATCTCTACTGGCTCTGAAGAGGACTGACAATAACTAGTTACTTATGAGCAATTGTGATTTTACGGTGGTCATTTGTGAATTCACACATTATAGGTTCTATACCTGTGCAATAAGCTGTTAGAATGCTTCAGAGTTAATTTTTTGGCAACCCGTGTTAATCTTTAGATAGAATTTAGATTAATCTTCCACTGAAATCCTTAGCTCTGGAATATCCTAAAAGTGCTTTTTCAAGAGGCAACTGGACTTTTTGGTTTTTCTTTGAAGACATTTTGCTTCTCATCCAAGAAGCTTCTTCAGCTCAAGCATCTTTGGGACAACCATGACCTGGATGACTGAGAATCCCAGTAGTGGGTTCCACTTACCTTCACTATCGGTTCGGAACTGTGAGTGTGTGTGTGCTTCGCTCGTGCATGGCGCTTCTGCGCATGCGCAGAACCTTCTGTGCATGCGCAGAGCATCCGTGATGACGTCCGGGTGGGTGGCCAAAGCCTCCCGCCACCGCCACTACCGGTTTGCCCAAACCGGGGCGAACCGGTAGAAACCCACCACTGGAGAATCCCCATAGATACTTAGCTCTGGAACATTTCAAAGTATAGGGGAAAATCCATATGTGTGAATTAGACAAACCCTCTTGAAAAAAATATAAATTAGAGTAGAACTTGACTGACAGATTTTGAACTGATTCATTCAGCAAAATCATATGGTGAACAAACCATGTCAATTGCCTATTTGCTTCCAAATGAACTCAATGCAGTGATACCTACCTTTAAATTCTTTAATCAGAGGTGGAAAACCTTTTTTTCTTTCAACAGCCCCATTCTTTTGGGAATAATCTGTAGGTATGTGCATGTCCATGGAGGGACTTAAGCAGGGGGAGATGGTTAAAGGCAGTATGTTAAAGGGCTACACATAACTCTGTTTTCCATTTTGTTGCCCCTTTTTTTATCTCTTCCCCATTCTCCAATCCAACAAAAATGTTTTTGCCAGAAGTCTGAATAATTTGATTACAGAAATTTTATGGTTGTTGAAATTTGTTTGTTTGTTTATAAAATTTATTGGCTGCCCATCTTACCTCAGGGTAAGTTACTTATATATATTCATTGGCCTCTAGCACCTTGATCACTATTCCAATTCTCTTTCATTTGTCTATAAGAAGAGATTGAAATTGACTTCTTTCATTTGCTGCCCTTATCCTTCCCCAGTTTGGACTCCTAGGTTGTTTGCTAATGGAAATCCCATTTTAGTAACATAAGGGGTGATAGAGTTTTTGTGGTTGCCATAGAAGATGAGACATGCAGTAGACTAGAAAGCCCTAGAGCCAGGCAGGGATGAAACAGATCAAAGCCAAGCTCATCTGAATGCAGCAAGAGCCAAATGGAGCTCAGTCACTCAGCTAGAAGCAAAATGTTAACCTCCTGCTCAACATTTTGGGCAGCATAGAAAGACAGGAACCAGCTTGAGCAGAAAATGTGTGGGGAAGTGGGAGATGAGGAAAAAGGAGGGCGGACTTGTTACCTAGCAGTCCCCCAAAGGTGATGGCAGGAGAGAGAGCAGCGAAGTAGATGAATAGCACGGCTGCGAGGCACTGGCTGTGCAGGGCATCTCTGAGGTCACTCAGATACTTGGGGTACCTGCGCTTTATGTCCCGCACCAAACCACCAAAGAAAATGCCGGTACGCTTCAGAGGGTCATCCTCCTCCTCCTCGCCCTCTTCTTCTTCTTCAGCTTTCACCTCACATAGCTCTGGAAAGGCATAAATAGAAGAGCAGGGAAATGGTCAGAGAGGCTGAAACAAAACACCTTTCCACACTAATATCTTACTGTATGTAATCAGACACGTGCTCGGGTCTAATTTTCCCTTATTTGCTTGTGTTAATTGCCACAAAGTCTGCCTTCAACATCTACTTTGTTACTGCATCAATTTTAATGGCATTACTGGCATGTCAAGCTGTATCTCACCCATTCTATTCTAGCCACAGTATGAATCAGAGGAATTAGATACAATAGGCAAAGACAGAAGAGACCTTTGGATTCCTGAAAGTTTGTTTCTTTGAGGGACTTCTTCTGGTCCCGCTCTCTTCTTTTCTTCAGGAGCACTTTCTGGAAGGTGGCAATTGATCTGAGCAAATCTTTCCCTTCTACTTCTGATGGAGGAATGACAATGCTGCAGTCTAGGAACTCATTGATGGCATTAAGCAGATCTTGGCGGTCATCTGCCATATAAGCGGCTTCATGGAAATGCTATAAACCAATGGGGAAACATGGTGAAACACAGACAGCATCTTTATACCTGGCCCTGCCCACCCTAATATTACGGGTTGGTAGTGTAGTCCCCAACTCAAGATAAATCCCTCAGTTCATTTTCAGTGAAACAGTATAGCTGGATTTAATTACCATTTTGTTCCCATTTTGCCTTTTGGGGAAAATGTGTGTTTGTGTGTGTGTATGCATGTACACACATATGCATTTCTTGAAATATTATTACAGTTCTTCTAAAGTCTTTAATGTCAGCACACAAGCAATTAAATATAATCTTGATTCCAGTAAGCGAACAATTCATGTATTGACACTAAAACTTGATTTAGTGCTGAGGTAAAACACGTGATCTCCCAGTTGTTGCTGAACTCCAGTCTACAGCAGCCCCAGTCAATTTATCAATAACATGTTAGAAATATTAGGAATTAAAGCTCTACAGTGCCTATACTGATTTCCCATCTCTGTTTTAACAGTCCTTTCTATACAGTGTAACTTAATAAGGTTCATATTCAATGGATAAGCATGATCTTATTATGTGGTAATTTAATTTTTCTGGTTTATTTTAAAATTTTAAAATGCTGTTTTAAATCACAGAGTGGGAGAGGGAGGCAGTAATTTAAAAAAAAAACCAAATAGAAAATATATTCTCTCATAAACATAGCACGATTTGATATAAAATTAAACATTTAGAAAAAGTATAAAATGGTTCTGGTCAGTTTGGTAGCACATTTATATCAAATAAAATAGGCTACTTTAGAATGAATGAGCAAAATTTTGAGCAGGTAGAAAAACACTTTTAGAAATTTTAATACTGGCAGGAGAGAACTGAGAGAGTGATCCTGGAATTTAAGAATTACTCTCTTTTCACTACTACACTTTAATTACATTAAACAGAAGTGTGGATAAATTATTACTAAAAGATTCATTCACATGAAAAACATTGCTGAAAGCAAATAGGAGGACAGAGTTCACGAAGCTCTAAGCCAGCTTTTTTTAAAAATAAATTTCATCAAAAATTAATGCTATCAAACTCTGTCAAAAATTAAGGCCATCAAAATCTCCATCAAAAATTAACTTCAAAGGATGTAAGCTTAACTTAGAAAAGATAGGGGGGTTAATATAGAATGTATCCAGGGGTGGGCTTCAAAAATTTTAGCAAGGGGTTCTCTGCCCGTTTGCTGGGTGGGCATGGCAATGGTGGGCGTGGCCTACTCATCCTCCTGCACCATGGGGGGAGGGGCTTTTTGCCCTCTCCGGGCTTCGAAGGCTTTCTTCAAACCTCCGGGAGGGCAAAAACAGCCTCCCCAGGCTCCAGAGGCCCTCTGGAGACCGGAAACATTCCCAAACTTCCAGCAGGTCCGTTTTTTGCCCTCCCCAAGCCTCTGCATGCACCCTGCATTTACCTGCATCCAAAATGGGCCATGTGGGGTCTCCTGGGAGGGGCAGGGTGGGCAGGGCCAGCCAGGAGTGGGATTTGGGGGTTCTCCGAACTGCACAGAATCTTAGCTAGAGGTTCTCCTGAACCCCTGCAAACCCCCAGCAGCTCACCCCTGAATGTATCATTGTTGTTGTTTTCTGAAGTCTCACATGTAGGACTTTTTTTCCCTTCCATACTCTGCAGTTTTGCCCTTGACATGTTGTTTATATCACTCCATACACCATCTCTATTTATGCTTGAGCTTGAGCCCGAACCAATAGTCAGGTCTTTACCTTGTCTGACATGAGAGTAGAGATTGAACGTCCAATCTCATGGTAATCCACATTGGACTGACTTGGCCCTAGCAAAACAAAGATGAAGCGAACAGGAATCGGAACTTCCAGAACTGATTCCAGGAATACAGCTTCATTTAAACGGACAAAAGCCATTGATGGTTGTTCGAGAAATTCAACACAACCTATGAGGAGAGGAAGAATAAAACCAGAGTTATTGGATCAGTGTAGAACTTACAAGTAACAAGATATATGTCCAGATAGGGAAGTCCAGGCAAAAAGCACTCAGCATAGTCAGATTCATATTACATTTAGTGGTGACTTACTATTTCAATTGCTGTTAATACAATGACTGTGACTAATAGAAGTAGTTCAAGTGCAGAGTTGGCAGTTACTGTCCTATTTTTTTGAAAGATATACGAAGGTTAAATTTAAAAATAATAATCTTCATCAAAGTGCAACTATATTCTGATCCAAAAACAAATGCAACAAAGCCAATTCAGAAATTTCATTGCCCCCTCCCTCCATAAATAAAGGTAACCAAGAAGGAACAGAAGCTATGTCAATCTTAGTTTTTCTCAGTTAAGAATTTTTGAATTTCCGGTTGAGGAGCTAAGATTTCAGAATGATCTCATAGTTAATAGGTTACTGGCACAAAGTCTTACTATATCAATAGAACACAAGCTGAACTGCAGCAGTTAAGCAAATACGCACACACAGAGATTGATAATGCTTGAATTCTGTCTCTAACATGATGCAGGCATGGAAATTAGTGGGACTATGTTTAGCTTCCTAGTGAGGGTCTTGTTTCTATATCTTATGCAATAAGCCAGTGGTAATGCTGCTACTACTGCCAGAAAATGATTGTGGGTTTTTTTTTTTATTTATAATACAACACAATATGACAAACACAAAACACATAGTATATGTTCCCTTTTTACAACTGTTTCATAGCAGTAATCTTCTAATATTTACATTTCCCCCCATTTCCCCTTATACTATTCATTTCCTTCTTGTCCCATTTACTTTTATTTACACTATAATTCCTAACCATCATGATATTAATTTTATACATTTTATACATTGTCCTATAAACCTTTTATATTTGTGATTTCTCCCCTTTCATTATTGTTCACTTTCTAATCTCCAGCCTGTTGTACCACTGAGAGCACATAAAAATCCCACAATTGTACCACTAACCAACAAATGGTACTATTGTGGGGTGTTTTATGTGCTCTCTTTCCCTCCTTTTGTCTAGTTACTTTGATACGAGCAGTTTGTGCTACTTATTGGCTTCTGTACTGGTAAGAGAGTTCTATTTTATTTTATTGGTTATATACTGCCTCCAATCGTGCCTAGCTCTGAACAGGTTATACACATCCCAGAATAGAATAAACCAAAATATGACAGCATAAACATAATTGGAAATACCACAGCTACACTAATTGCATGATTACAAAATACCTTCTCAAGGTATTTTGTACTGCACTTTGATTTAGGATTCCTTACCAACAAGCACTACGGTCGCCTCAGCATCATCAGGAATCTTTTCCATCAATTTGATGTACTTGCCACGATGTCCCTCAGCGCTGTGGAGGTGCATGTTTTTCTATCCCAACAAGAAATATCTGAATTAGCTTGTGATGACTTTCATATGCCGTCTGGCTAGAATAGCCCCTGACTTTGTGAAATATATAACCTACACTCTAGTTACTAAGATTCTACAAGGTACAGACTTTAATTTCTTACTTTTCTACATGTTTATTTCAGGTAAATCTAAAGACTGTTACATTATGTCCCCCTTACACATTCATGGATTTGTTAATTAATTAATTCATTAATACATCAATTCAATCTATTCTCAGGGCCATTATATTATACTAATTACTTACTTACTTTCTTTAATTTAATGTCCTACTTTCTCCAAATACATATATTCTTGATTAAGTCACTTCTCAAAATTCTTCTGATTCCTTCTCCATGACTAGCAGAAACAGAATAAACTGTGGAAGGCCCTGAAATATGTTCAATTTCGTACTAGTGGTAAAATCCAGGTTTTATTTGATACAAACTTTAAAAAAATGTTTTGTTTGTTTGCTTTCAGTGCACCCATATCAGTTCATAATTCATATACTTACTTTTCTTGAACTTACACATTACTGTAAATTAGTTTTACAGATAAATTCAATCTGATCCTGTAATGGGCAGAAGGAATAATCTGAGCAACAGGAGGAAGAGCCACTACAAAGATAGGGTCAGATAAAATAAATCTGAGTGCAAGTCAGAATTGTAAGTTGAGAAAATGTTTCACATAAGATCCCTCTTAGTTCTCAAAAAGATAAAGGGATGAACAGGGGAAGTGTATTCAGACTTTGCATGAAAGATAATGTATGCAATGAATTTACTACTTGTAATAAAAATAGTATTAGCCTCTATGACCTAGGTTTCCTAGCCTAGTCTACCTTGAAGGGTTGACATATCCTTTTTTAAACTCACCTCTCTGTACTCCGGGTCATGGATTCGTGGTTCTGTCATCTCAATCCTCTCTTCTCCCATCAATGGCATGCACGTGTCAATTGTGTGATTGTGATTGAGATGATGATTTCCCACTATAGAATTCAGGCTGGAATTGGAATGGTTCCGGGGGAAGAATGCTTCCTTCTCATCATTGGGGTGGCTGAGGAAATAATATGGATATCAAAGAAGCTAAAGAACCTTGGCCTAATTTCTCTGGCTAAACAGTTGCTCTTCAAATATCTATCCTAAAATCTGACTGAAGTGAAGAAAAACCATTGTTCACTCTTACTGAACAATTGCTTTTCAACAAAAACAATGTTTTTTTAAGAAGCAAATCTCTGCTCATCTATCTTTCAGCTCCCCTATATATTATAAAATTCTGATTTTCCTACTTGTATGTAGATTTGCTGGAATTTCTTTTTTTTTTATTGCAAAAGTTTTACAATTACATTTTCACCCCTTTCCCCCCCCCGCCACCCACCCCAAACTTCCCAACCTCCCTAACCCTCCCTAACCCTCCCCTCCCCCCAGACTTCCCTATATTATACTCATATCTGGTAAAAATAATAATAATAATAAAAAACCCCCCTTAATATAAAACTTATGTAAAAACTTGAACCCCTCCCTCCCCTTTATAATTTTTCTTTTTTTTTTACCCTCATTACATTAAAATATTTCTAATACATTATTTTCAAATAAAAGCTATTTGATACTTTCTAGTTTGATATTTGTTCTGAACATATTCTATCCACCTTTTCCATTCCCATTCATAAGTCTCTTGTGAACAATCTTTTAAGTATGCTGAAATCTTCGCCATCTCTGCAAAACTGGCCATCTTCAAAGTCCATTCCTCAATAGTGGGCAAAGCTTCATTTTTCCAATATTTACCTATCAACAATCTTGCTGCTGTTATCATATACAATATCAGTTTTGTTTCACCCGATGTAAAACCCTTAACTATACCCAATAAAAACAATTGTGGAGAGAATTGAATTTTTTTCTTCAAAACATTCTGCATGACCCACCAAATTTTTATCCAAAAAGCCTTAACTTTCCTACAGGTCCGCCAAACATGATAATACGTAGCATCCAAACATTCATATCTCCAACATTTTGGCTGAACATTAGGGTACATACATGACAACTTTTTGGGATCTAAATGCCATCTATAAAACATTTTATAGAAATTTTCCCTCAAGTTCTGCGACTGTGTAAATTTAACATTCTGAACCCAAATCTTTTCCCATGTTTCCAACATCACTGGTTCTTCAAAATTTTGTGCCCACTTAATCATACAATCTTTAACTAATTCAGTTTCTGAATCCCTTTCTAGCAAAACATTATAAAGCCTTTTGATATGCATTGGACCTTTCTCTTTTATATGTCTAACCAATTCTTCCTCGTGCAACATAATACCAGTTTTTTGGTCCTCTTTCCATCTCAGTTGTAATTGATTATATTGTAACCAAGTTAAATTAATCCCTTCGTCCAACAGTGTCTGCAATGTCTTCAGCTGCCATCTGCCCGCATCTGTAAAAAGAACCTCTTTATATAACTCCCCCCCGAGTGACATTATATTTGTATTCCACAAAATATGACCAAGATCCAGCCATAGCGGTATTTTATAATCCCATTTGAATCGGTGCTTCTTCCAAACTCTCATCAAAGAGTCTCTAAGTATATGGCTTTTAAATACTTTATCAACTTTGTCATCATAAAATAAGTAAGCATGCCATCCAAATTCAAGATCAAAACTTTCTGCATTCAATATTCCAGCCTTTTTCCTTCCAAACCAATCACTTGTTAAAGTTAAAGCTGCTGCATCATAATATAACTGTAGGTTTGGAAGTTTAAGACCTCCTCTTTCTGGAACATCTTGCATAATTTTCAATTTCACTCTCGGCTTTTTCTCGTTCCAGACGAACTTATTCACTCCAGTTTGCCAGACTTTCAATTGTTTATCACTTTTAAGCACCGGAATCATTTGAAACAAAAAAAGAAATCTTGGCAAAATGTTCATCTTAACTGCTGCTATTCTTCCAAGTAAAGACAGCTGCAGTTTTTTCCAAGTCTCCATGTCTTTCTGCACCTCTCGCCACAACACCTCATAATTATTTTGAAACAATTTCATGTTTGATTCTGCAACCTGAACTCCTAGATATTTTACCTTTGGTACAATCTCAAAACCTGCCCTCCTTTCAAGCTCATGTTTACGATCTTGTGTCATGTTTTTAGCTATCATTTTAGTCTTTTTTGGATTCAGTCTAAAACCTGAAACTTTACCATAGTCTTGTATAATGTCCTTCATCAGGATTATTGATTCCATTGGTTGTGATAGGGTAACAACCAGATCGTCTGCAAATGCCTTTATTCTGTAATCCTCTTGCCTAATCATTATACCTTTCAGGATATTAGAGTCCCGTATTGTATTTAGCAAGACTTCTAGTGTTAAAATAAATAAAAGTGGGGACAACGGACATCCCTGTCTTGTTCCTTTTTCAATTTTGAACTCTGTTGTCAAACTTCCATTAATAATGTGCCTTTTGCTCTTGGTAAATTGCTGAAATCGCCTGTATAAATTGATCCCCAAAGTCCATCTTTTTTAAAGTCTTTAGTAGAAAATTCCAATCCACTCTATCAAAGGCCTTCTCTGCATCCAAGAAGACCAGCACTGCAGGAATCTGTTTATTCTTCTCAAGATATTCCAATAAATCTATTACTTGCCTTGCATTATCCTTCATGTATCTGCCCTCGATAAATCCCGCTTGATCATCATGAATCACCTTTTGGATTACTGGCATCAACCTGTTGGCTAATACTTTCGCATAGATTTTATAGTCTGTATTCAAAAGAGATATTGGTCTGTAGTTCTCTGGTTTTTTAGGACCGACTTGTTCTTTTGGTATCAAAGATATATAAGCTGTTGTCCATGATGGGGGTATTTTACCCCCTTGTTGAATATTGCAAAATAAATCTCTGAGTTGTTCCACCATTTCAGCTTGCAAAGTTTTGTAATACACTGCGGTCAAACCATCCGTGCCAGGAGCTTTGGCTGTTTTTAACTGTTTAATTGCTACTATTATCTCCTCCTCTGTTATAGGATAATTCATTCTTTCCTTTTGTTGATCAGTAATTTTTGTAACTCTTTTATTGTTTAAATATTTTTCTATAAGTCCATTCTGCACCTCCTCTTTGGCATATAGTTTGGTATAATAGTCCACAAAAGCTTCTTTAATTAATTTTCGTTGAAAAATTTCTTTCCCTCCAATATCAATACTATCAATAGTCCGTATACTTTGTTTTTTCCTCAATGTGTAAGCCAACCATCTGCCCAGTTTATTAGCGTTACAAAATGTATTGTGCTTCGCATATTGTATGTTTGTTGCAACTTGTTCCGCCATAAGCATTTGGAATTGGTCTTTCAAGAGTTTTATAGCACTGCATATTCTTTCATCTGTTGGATTTTTAATAAGTAACTGTTCTTTATTCTTTATTTCTATTTCCAATTCAGATCTTTTCTTTTGTCGAATCAGTCTATGTTTAGAGTTCATGTAGATAAGCACCCCTCTCATATAAGCTTTACTTGCATCCCACACAATTTCTATTGGGGTACCTTTATTCAAATTTATTTCAAAAAATTCTTTCAAGTGCTTTTTAAGTTCTGTTGTGTTTTTTTCATATCTGAACAAGTTCTCATTTAATCTCCAAGAACGTCTCTCAATCTTATCCATCTCAATTTCTATCCATACTGGGCTATGGTCAGTCAAAGTTCTTGGAAAAATCTTTGTTCTTTTTGTCTTGACAAGTAGATCATCTGACAACAAAATGAAATCAATCCTAGAGGGACTTCCGGCGGTGACGTCAGCGTGTTAGGGATGAAAGGAACGGACCTCCGTTTTCCAAGTCCCTAATATCTCCGATTTAGGAGCCGATTTAGGCACTATTGACCTCGGAGAGGTCAATAGAAAAAAGGGGAAACTCCGAGGACCTCGGGGAGGACAGCAATCCCCCCGAAGGTTCAGGAAATCCCCCTTAATCCTGATCGGGGAAAAACCAGCCACCCCGGCTGGCCAGAAACGTTGACAGCTGACTAAGAGGGAAGCGAAAATCAAATAAAGAAGACTTCGGTGGAAAGAGCGGGAAGAAAAAGAGCTCAAAAGGTACATTTACAACCCACAACGTGAGAATCGAAGGCGGAAGAAGATAAAACTCCAACTAAGAAGCGAACCTTCGCTAGACAAGCGGCGACTGAGAAATAAGTGGAGACGGCTTCCATTTTGACAGTGACAGCGCATAAATTAGCAGCCGGCGAAAGCGGAGGAAATCCAGGGGAAACCCATGAGGAGAAAGTGATCCCAGAGAAACTTGGATTTTGAATATTTTGCTACAGAGGAGAGACTGAACTTAAGGAGAGAAAGGGATTAATTTGATGGACTTTGCCCTTTGTGGAGGCGACAACGAGACAATTAACAAGCAGCTGATACCGGAAGAGAGAGCGGCAGAAAAACTCCATTTAAAGTGGAAGTTAGTGACTTTTGGAGCTAAATCAAATCAATCTAAGCGGAATATTTTTCCTTGGACTCTTGGACTTTTGGATCTTGGGACTTTGGATATTTGGAGGTTTGGACTTAGACATTGGGACTTGGATTATTCTACCCTCTATTTTTTGTTGTTGTTGTTGTTGAAAGGTGGACACTCGGGAGTCTTGGAGCTTTGGTGGACATTGGACATTCAATCTAAAAGTATTGGGACACTAGACTCTGAACAATAAATAAGAAGGATACAAATTTGGAAAAAAAAAAAGAGAGAGAGAAGAGAGCGATCCAGATGAAGAAGAATCAACTGTAAAGTATAATTAATTGTATTAAAAGCTGATAACAAATTAGTGATTAAGAAGCATAAAAAGCATTAATATTAAATGTACTGTTTGTGAAATTTCATATATAATCCTATATACCATATATATAACTGTTAACTTAATTTCATATTTATCCTAAATATATATTTATATTTATCTTAGTGCTATATTTTACCTCGGTAGTTAAATATTATATTGTTTTGTATGTTTAGGTTTGAAAAATTACATTAGATAGATTAATTGAATCTAGGATAGAAATTAAGAGTAATTGATTTGATAAATAGTAATTAATAATAAATTCA